TAAATGTAAATATATATATATATATACACATTTTTCCTCATTACTACATTACCACGTTTTTCTTTGGAGTTGTTTTTAATTAGAATCAAGGATGAAGCTCATTACTTTTACTCAGGAACTGAGTTTTCGACGTGTCGTGTGACCTTTTGCTCTCTCTTTTCTTCAAAATAAGCTCTTAATCAGCTAACAACTTCATAAATCAGAAGCTATGTTATGTTTTTTATTTTATTTTGAATTTAAATGACATAACATCATGTGAAAACCACCTTCGATTAACTTGGAAGACTCTGAGAAGACAGTCTCTGTGCGGCAGGGTGGTTCGACATTAGTAGGAGTGAAGATTGTTGGAAAGCAAAATCTAACAATATGATTTTGGGATGAAATAAGACCTGCACATGTTCTTCACCCTATAGCCATAATTCACTGAACTTTGCCGTTCTGTCACATCATTTTAAATTCTGTGTAAAGGAAGGGTTAGTTCTGTCCAATCGGCCTGTAGTAGATAACAGCCAGCCTCTCGGGGGATGTTAAGCTGGATTCATGGTTTTTCTCAGACCTGTCAAGTAGATGCCATCTTAAAAGAAAAGGACCAGCTTAAACCAGCAAAGGACCAGCATAAACCAGCAAAGGACCAGCTTAAACCAGCATCCCAGTGTCAAAACATACCTAACCAGGATATGCTGGTTTTTTCAACAGGGTAACTAGCCTATGCTAGCTGACTGAACAGTAAACCAGTTTAGACTGCTTTATCCGGTCTTCCAAGAAGGCCAAACTAGTGTTTATCTAGTCAACCAGTTGGTGTCACAACTAGAACAGCTGACAGATACCTAAATCCCCTTAAAACCACAGAAAACCAACTTAATAGCAATGCTATTTTTAACATTTATATTTATTTATATGTATATATCATTTATATACTATTATAGTATTTATTAATATTTTAAATGAGCTTTTATATTTATATTTTCATTTTATTTTAATATTATTTTAAGTTTTAGTAATTTTGTTATGTGCTTTTGTGATTTCTATTAGTTTTTGTTAAATAATTCTCTTTAGATTTAATTTATTTTTATTTCCTTTTTAGTTTTAGTGAATTTTCTACTTCAAGTCATTTTATAAATTAAATTAAGTTTAATTTTAATTTTTTCATCTAATATTTTTATTTGTTATATTATTTCTATTTTGATTCTATTATTTTGAGTAGTTTTTGTTTTTGTTAATCAGAGCAACACTTAAAACCAGCAAACCACTATTGGCTGGTTTAAGCTGTTTTGTTTTTTGTGCAGATGTATTTGAAAAGAAAAATCCACTGTTTGCCTTTCTATAGATGCCCAAATTTGGCACAAAGCACCATATCTAACAACATCAAAAAGTACGGTAACTTCTGCTTCAGAAAGAGCCAGTTATATAATTGTACCTTGTCCTCCTAGCTGGCAGGTGGCGCTGTGATGGCAGTGGGAATATGGACTCTGGTGGATAAAAGTGACTACATCAGCCTTCTGTCCTCCAACACCTACTCGGCCGCGGCCTTCATCCTGATTGGCGCGGGGGCCGTCGTCATGCTCACTGGGATACTTGGCTGCTGTGCCACCATCAGAGAACAAAGAGGTCTTCTTAGAGTGGTGAGAGAGCATTATGGGTAATTTTACAACTGACAGCAGACACATGTCCATAAGCCACAACTATGATTCAAAGGTGTCCTGTGTGGTTGTGAAAGTGAGTTTTTAAAGTATTGCTATGTAGTTGCTAGGGTGTTATGAGTGTTTTAAAGAGTCTGGTATGTGGTTGCTAGGGTGTAGTTGTGCAGTTGCTAAGGTATTCTGAGTGTTTTAAAGTGTTCATGTGCAGTTGCGATTCAGTTCTGGGTTTTTTAATGTGTTGCTATGGGGTTGCCAGGGTGTTCTAGGTGGTTGCCAGGGTGTAGCTGTGCAGTTGCTACAGTATTCTGAGTGTTTTAATGTGTTCGTGTGCAGTTGCTAGGGTGTTCTGAGTGTTTTTAAAGTACGGCTATGTGGTTGCTAGGGTGTTCTGAGTGTTTTAAAAAGTCTGGTATGTGGTTGCCAGGGAGTAGCTGTCCAGTTGCTACAGTATTCTGAGTGTTTTATTGTGTTCATGTACAGTTGCTAGGGTGTTCTGAGTGTTTTAAAGTGTTGCTTTGTGGTTGCGAGGGTGGAGCTGTGTGGTTGCTAAGGTGTTCTGAGTGTTTTAAAGCATTGCTATGTGGTTGCAAGGGTGTTGTGGGTGGTTGCAAGGGTGTAGCTGTGCAGTTGCTACAGTGTTCTGAGTGTTTTAGGCCCTGTTTTCACTGCGTTTCAGAAACGATCTCCGTCCACACTGCACAACCGAAAACGCATGTCACATGACCATTCATCCAGGTACAACAATGAGCATGATATTATTGTTTACACTGTCGTCAAGGATACGCAGAGCGAATGTTGGCAGCCACGCCATCGTTTTCAAACTAAAACGGGGTCTGCAGCGTTTTCGAAAGTCTCCGTTTTCGATTGTCGAAAATGCCGGGGTAGTGTAAACGACAGGCATAACAGTAGCAAAAGTTATGAATTTTAAAACGAAAACGCACTAGTGTAAACGTAGCATTAATGTGTTCATGTGCAGTTGCTAGGATGTTCTGGTTTTTTTTAAAGTGTTAATGTGTGGTTGCTAAGGTATTCTGAGTGTTTTAAAGTGTTCATGTGCAGTTGCGATTCAGTTCTGGGTGTTTTAATGTGTTGTTATGTGGTTGCCAGGGTGTAGCTGTGCAGTTGCTACAGTATTCTGAGTGTTTTAATGTGTTCATGTGCAGTTGCTAGGATGTTCTGGGTGTTTTAAAGTGTTAATGTGTGGTTGCTAGGGTGTTCTGAGTGTTTAAAAGTGTTGCTATGTGGTTGCTAGGGTGTTCTGAGTGTTTTAAAGTGTTGCTATGCGGTTATTGGGGTGTTCTGGGTGGTGGTAGCAAGGGTGTAGCTATGCAGTTGCTAAGGTGTTCTGAGTGTTTAAAAGTGTTGCTATGTGGTTGCTAGGGTGTTCTGAGTGTTTTAAAGTGTTGCTATGCGGTTATTGGGGTGTTCTGGGTGATAGTAGCAAGGGTGTAACTATGCAGTTGCTAGGGTGTTCTGAGTGTTTTAAAGTGTTGCTATGTGGTTGCTAGGGTGTTCTGAATGGTAGTCAAAACATCCCAAACCCAGGAAAGAAAGTCTCTTCTCACTTATAACAGTGCTGGATGATTTTCATGTGTGATTTCATATTTATAATTTGTTTGTTCGGTTAACTCACCCTAAATAGTGTTGTTTGACTAAGGAAACACCACCAACACAAAAAGCTATTTTAACAAAGGAAAGAACCAAGTCTTGGCCCTATAAATGTTTTTGATGAATGATCTGAGTGCAGTCTGTGATAAGATCAACACAAAAACCTCTACCAGACCTTTGAATGAAATCTTATGAGTAATAGACAAAGTGGACAGTGTAAACACTGGATTACAGTAGTCGTGTGGATTCCTGCACACAGAAGCCAGGAATTATTCTGGGAACACGCTGTCACACTAACGTGACTTTTTTGTGCTTTCTAAATTAGTTTGATGGTGCTCATGTGTGTGTCTCTAGTTGTCTCAAAGCTGTCAACATATCTGATTTAAATAAAGACGTGTGTATCTTTAAGAGGTCAGACTTAGAAACTTGAGTCATAACTGAGGAATGACGGCCAGCAGAGAGAGAGAGAGGGAGTATAGAGGAATGCGAAGGGAGTGATTCCAGAATAGAGGAGTGAAAGGAGAGTGGTGGGCACAGAAAACAGAGGGAAAATACAGAACAAATACAGGCTGAGAGAATAATAATAATGCTTTTAACCTTTATCAGCTGCGTAAAATTCCTCAGATGCCATTCGTTCTCATTTTCAACAGCTGATGAACATCAGAGTGAAAGTTCTTAAAGGGATAGTTCACCCAAAAATGAAAATTCTGTCATCATTTACTCACCCTAACGTCGTTCCAAACCCCGTAAGCCTTTGTTCATCTTCGCAACACAAATGAAGATATTTTTAATGAAATCCGAGAGATTTCTGTTTCTCCATTGACAGTCTACACAACTACCACTTTGAAGCTTCAAAAAGTTTATAAAGAGATGGTAAAACTAATCCATATGTATTGAGCGGTTTAGTCCAGAGAGACTTGATCGCTTTATATGATGAGCAGATTTAATTTAGGCTTTTATGCACATTGATTAGCAAACATAAACAGAAGCTCAACTGCGAGAACAAACCTTATTGGTTCTTGCGGAAGCTCAAGCGTGCCTTGTAAAACACGAGAATTAATGATGTGAGCGTCGATTAGTGTTTATATGTAAATAAAAGCCTAAATAAATCTGTTCATCATATAAAGTGATCAAGTCTTTTCAGAAAATTTGGACTAAACCGGCGCTCAGTTCATATGGATTAGTTTTACGATCTCTTCATGAACTTTTTGAAGCGTCAAAGCGGTAGTTTTGTCAATAGAGGAACAGAAATTTCTCAAATTTCATTCAAAATATCTTCATTCGTGTTCTGAAGATGAATGAAAGTCTTACGGGTTTGGAATGACATGAGGGTTAGTAATTAATGACAGAATTTCCATTTTTGGATGAACTATCCCATGACAGAAATTTCTCAAATTTCATTCAAAATATCTTCATTCGTGTTCTGAAGATGAATGAAAGTCTTACGGGTTTGGAATGACATGAGGGTTAGTAATGACAGAATTTCCATTTTTGGATGAACTATCCCATTAAAGGAGCAGGATTACAAAAATGAAATTGTCAATATATATACTCACTCTCAAAGCTAGAGTCCAAATACATATATTAGGGCTGCACGATTAAAAATCATAATTGTCGATTATTCCTTTGAAATTGTATTTGCGATTATTAATTACGATTATCACAATTTACATTGAATGATGTTTATACCATTGTTTGATGCAACTGCATGCCGTATTTTTATATGAAAATAAACAAGCTGAAAACACTCTAACTGAAAAACTTTTAGTGCTTTTCTATAGTATTAAGCTTCAAATGTCAAATATACATCGGATTGGTTTCTTCTTTAAATTATAAAAAAAGTAAAAATATGAATGGTATTATAATGTTATACTAAAATTAAAATAATGGGAAAAACCCTTAAGATAACATGTAGAAAGAAAAAAACGCATCTTAAGCGTGCAGAATAACATAAGTGGACTTTGAACGTTTAATTGCCGCTTTAAACGATTACGTAATTGTGGCATCCATGATTGTAATCGCGATTAGAAATTTCGATTAATTGTGCAGCCGTAACATATATTACTGAAACTTTTTTACTTTTTGTCTCTACAGTTCTTTGTCCTGCTGTTATTAATCTTCCTACTGGAGATCACAGCTGGAATTCTGGCTTACGTCTATTATCAGGAGGTAAACTCACATTCTTTATGCACCAAGAGCTTGTAACACTCCAAAGAGAAAGGAAAAATTGAAATCGCATCATATGACCCCTTTAATTTAACCGTAAGACTCCTCGGATTCGCATTAAACCCACATACACATGTTGAGTGTTGTATGTTTGCATGCTCTCCATCCACTTTCCTGCTTTTCTATCTTTATAAAACCCTTTGTCTTCTTCCTCCTTTTCCTCCAGTGTTTTCCTCTCTGCTACCAGGTAAACAACTACATAGACAAAAAATCAGCTAAAGTTGCACATATGTGGCTTGAGTTTGTTTGAGTTTCACCTCTAACGATAAAAAACACTGTCATTATTTACTCATTCTCGTGTCATTCCAAACCAGTATGCTGTTATTTTTTCCACGGCACACTGAAGGTTTCATGAACATTCTTCCGTGTTCTAAGGGAAAAAAATAACATCATGTTTGGAATGACATGACGGTGAGTAATTAATGACGGAATTTTCATTTTGAATGGTTCCTTTAATATATGAGGTTTTGCTTTGTATCTGTGAATGAAAACAGACATTCACAGCACTTACTATACAGTATATAGAGAATGATTTATAGATATAGATCTGTAGCCTGATGAATTTATCTGTGATTGCAGCTGAACGCTGAGCTCAGAGCCGATCTGAAAGAGAGGATGGTGCAAAACTACCAGCAGCCTGGACAAGAGCAGATCACTAGAGCCATTGACAACCTCCAGCAAGATGTAAGACGTTCATCCATCCATCCATCCATCCATCCATCGTGCTGGGTAGTAACTAGATCACATGTAATTGGATTACAAAATCAGATTCCAAAAATTAAGTACTTGTAATTAGATTACATTACATTTTAAAATACTCGCAATCAGACACAGTTACTCTATTTATTGATTACATGATTAGATATTATTCACACAAGTCTTTGGAAGGCTTTTTGTCTTTAAAACACATTAAAATGCGCAAATTCACGTTATTTCTTATTTACATGTAATGCAGGGATTCCCAGACTTTTTTTTTGTCAGCCAAACCTCTTTCAATTAATATATTTACTTGAAGTTGTACATTTGCATGTACACGGTTTTCTGGTTAATGGTCACATGACATGCAGGTAAACATATAAAATATTTCATCTTTTTTGGTAAATTTTTTATTGTCATTTTAAAATGATTTACTTTAATTTTACATTTTTATGTTTTAATTCATTATTAGCATTTCATGAAACTCACAAACCGTGCTGCAGTTCCTTCATGAACCCCAGATTAAGGAACCTTGACAATGTTTAATGCATGCAACATGAATGTTGTTAATAACAGCGAATGGAATATATTTTCATTCTCTTTGTATTTTTATATCAATATGGTACAATATTTTCCTATTCCAATCAATGTGATAAACTAGTTAGGTCACAAGTAATCTAAAAGTAATCAAAAGTAGTCTGATTATATTGCCTAAAATGTGTAATCTAATGGATTACATTTCTAACTACAATTTGTGTCATGCCATTTGGATTCAGTAATGGGCTACAATTTCTAAGTAATTTATCCAGCAGTGTCTATCTCTGTCTATCTTTCTATCATTCTGTCTAGCCTAACTACCCTAACAAGTGCCTAGCAACCACCCAGAACACCATAGCAACTGTTTAGCATTGGCATAACAACACAGAACACCCACTTAGCAACTACTTGACAGCTGTCTAGAACACCTTAGAAACATTTAACACTTTCAAGCTACTTCTAACATTTAAGACAAGACTTTATCAAGCCCACAATCTAGTTTCAAACTATAATCATGCATGCATGTTTACATTTTTCAAAAGCTTTGAAGTTTGTCTATTTCATAACAAAGAAGGCTTTTGAACACAATTTTCCCAGTCTGTGAGCATGTGAGTTTATGCGTCATGATATCAGACACCACTAGCCCATGGGAAAACGATCCACCCGTCACAAGAATGAACTCTTTTCTCGTTCCCGCGCTCCCATCTGTTTTACGGTGCAGCTGAAGTGTTGTGGCAGTAACAGCTCAGCAGACTGGAGGGAAGGGGCCTGGATTCAGATCTTTGCCGACAGACGCCTGGTGCCCGACAGCTGCTGTAAGACCCCCACAGTGGGCTGTGGAGTCAGAGACCACCCATCCAACATCTACAAAGTGGAGGTACATTCAGATGACCGACCTCACAATTTGAGTGCACTTTTATAGCTTATGCATTTCTCAAATGGTTCATTTAATGTTTTAAAGGGGTCATATGATGCGATTTAAATTTTTCCTTTCTCTTTGGAGTGTTACAAGCTCTTGGTGCATAAAGAAGATATGTAAAGTTGCAAAGACTAAAGTCTCAAATCCAAAGAGATATTCTTTATAAAAGTTAAGAGTCAACCACGCCTACCTAAAACGGCTCGTTCTAACACACCCCCACATGTCTAC